GTAATAAAGACCAGGTTCAGTACACTGACAAAGCAGGGATCAGGCCTTGGAATGTGACCAGTGCTAAGTTCACTCTATAATCAAGGACCAACTCTCAGTATGGACTAAGGTGAGGGTTCAAGATCAACATTAGGATTCAGTCAATGATAGACTCAGGACTTCCTTGTAACCTTGATGGATTTTATTTCCAGGTCAAGGCTTCCTCAGTATCATCAAGTTGTAGAAATGGATTATTTACTGAGTAAATTTAGGTGACTAACTCCCATTCCCAGCTCCCTGGGTTTTCCACTTCCTCGGGGTCTTTGGCCTTTAGAAGAGAAAAAGTCAAAATTGTTCATGAAACTGAAATTCCCTGTTATGTACTCAGGGTGCCCTCTGGTGGCAGTCTCTAATAGTGTTGATTTTCTCAGGCTTAGCCCTCTTTTGCTTTCCAGATGCCTGCTCCTCTGGAATAGCCTTGGAAGCCCATCGGGCCATCTTCCGTGCTCTTTCATCTCTGCACACACCCCCAACAGAGCAGTAGACACAGAGGGATCTGCAAGTGGACAGTGGACCCCCCACAAGCTTTTCTAGCTTTCTATTCAGTTGGCATCTATAATTCCTGTTATCAGGTGCATGATAAGAGTCGCATCTTTTATTCACTGGTTTGACAGGTATTGTCGTTCACCTACCTGTGTCAGGTATAGGAGTGAACATGATGACTATCTCCACTTCCTGGTTCTCATTCCTCTTCTTAATTCCTAACTCCTGGCCACAGTGCTCATGGAAACTCACTGACATCAGTTGAAGTTTGACAGAGGTTCAGATCATCCTAAGGGTCCTTCTCCATCAAATTTACAGGTTAGACTAAACTAGGCTTGAGGCCTCTGCTTCTACCTCTCCTCACACTCATTACTCATAGGCCAGAGGCTCCTAGGTCTACATACCAGGGCCCTTTTCTCCAGAACGCAGGCCTGTGGACCTGGTCCTCCTGGGCTGACAGCAAGTTTCTCCCAGAATATGGCCTTCCAACCTATACTCCAAGGCTCTAGCCAAAGTTTAGTACTTCCTCCTACAGCCTTTTCAATCTCTGCCCCAGGAAATCCAGTAGACTGTCCCATTTACCTCAGAGGCAGGTGCAGTTGCTCACGGTGACCGCTCAGCCTCAGCCCCCAACTCAACTTTGCAGTCACCTCGTAACCGGCCCCTTATTTACTGTCTCTCCTCTTCACACTGTTTCCCACACAGCAGGCAGGGCAACCTTTACAGTCATAAATCAGCTCATGCCACTTCCATGCTTAAAACCCTCCAGTGGCTCCCATCTCGCCGAGAATAAAATCCAAGCTTCTCACCCCAACCTTATGAAGCTCTCCATGGGCTGAGCAATAAAACCTTCCACACCGATCCAGTTTCACTCCCTCCAATCTCTATAGCCCTTCTCTCTGTTTTGACACACAGAGGCCAAGTTCTTACTTGTTACTTATTTCTGGGCTTCTTCAATGGCCACTTTCTGAACTAAAATGTTCTTAGCATGGCTGACTCTTGTCATTCCATTTGGAATTTAGCTTCTCTTGGAGAAGACCTCCCTAACTGCTCAGGTCCCTAAGATACTCCTTTCTATTGTGATTTCCAGCACAGGACTCTTTACTGGTTGGTGTCTTTTGGTCTTGTGTGTGTGTGAATGTGACATATGTGTGGACATGGGTGTCCCTGCATGTGTGCACAAGTGCAGTGGCCAGAAGAGAACATTAGATGTCCTGCTCTGTCATTCTCTGCCCATCTCAAGACAGGGCATCTGAAGCTGAGTCAGAAGCTCGCTTGATGGCCAGCTGGCCTCAGTAGTAACCCACCTCCCCTAGCAATGCACTGTGTTATAGGCTCAAAAGCATGGCCAGACCAGCTTTTCCATGGGTGCAGGAATCTGGCCTAAGGTCCTTGTGCATCTGTAGCAAGCACTGTTCCCTATGGAGCCACCTCTCCGGTTCTGTTTACTGTTTCCCCAAGTAGGAAGTATCCTCCCAGCACTGGGCATATGGAAAAGTTCAGGAATTATCTGTTGGATTCATTGGTAAAAACTAGGTCTCAGTGGCACTCCTAATGGGACTAGAGGAAGAAACCCCAGTTTCTGACTCCTTATGGGTTCCCTAGCCCAGGCAAGCAGCAGCTTCCTCTGAGAGGCAGGGCTTCCCGGACCACCCTAAAGTTCCTCCATGAAAAATCCTGGGGAGCACTATCCTTTCAGAAGGATCAGCTCTGTGTCCTCACTGCAGCTCTGGACCTCTGGGGGACCGAGAGTCATGTTAGAGGGCTTGGTCCTCTGCATTGTCCCTTGTAGGCATTACCAGACCCTCATGGACTCCTCACAGTCAGGGAGCTTGCTTTCAGAACCTCATCCTCACCTTGGCAGAAACAGTCTCCCAGTGGCCTGCCTGGGAGAGGCCTGCAGAGCCGTGAGGGCAGAGCTCATCTTTGGCTCTGCTGTGTATAAAGAGTAGGGTGCTCCAGGGTCTCACTGGCCATACTGCCCTGAAAGGTTCTGTCCCTTAGCTCTCCCTGGGGAAACTGTTTGAAGGGAGGCAGCCCTGGGGTGGCAGGTCTGGAGACCTGAGGTTGCTTTGCTGGGATTGGGAAGTGGGTCCCAGGGGACTTACGTGACTGAGGACATGGAGGTAGAAAATGGAGCTGAGATCATCTTCAGCTGGGGGTGGGTGGCAGGAAGGGACTTTAGGGAGTCAATATGTCTACTCCATTTTCCTCACACCACTTTTTTTTTTTTTTTGAGACAGGGTTTCTCTGTGTAGTCCTGGCTGTCCTGGATCTCTCTCTGTAGACCAGGCTGGCTTTGAACTCACAGAGATCCATCTGCCTCTGCCTCCCAAGTGTTGGGATTAAAGGTGTGTGTCACCACTGCCTGGCACACCAATAATTTTTTGATCTATTGATTTACTGACCAGAATCCTTATCTGAAGTCCATTCCTCTTCTCCTACAGAACAAGATCAGGAAGTCTTCTTGTGGGGGTGGGGTGGGAGAGGAGAGCCATGAGAGTGTAATTTGGGGCATCTGTCAACTGGGGGGGGGTTGGACTGGGTCTAGCATTGCAGAGTGTATGTGGGGTGTCTCCTTATAAGGTGTTAGGAGAAGGGAGATCCAGATCACACCTAAGACAGCATCAGTGGATGCCTCTCTCTTTGGCTACTTTCAAGGAAGTGGAAGCAGGTGATGTTTGGGACTGCAGAGCACTGATCCACAAGAGTATGGGCCTGGGGATGACCAGACATACACTCACACATGTACATGCACACATGCATGCCAACAGATACCCAACAGAAGTGACAAGATGCTGTAGGAAGAGGCCATGTGTTTTAGGTGCTGAGTGCTTTGAAAGTTAGGGACTACTGACCCTTGTGAATTTTTTTTTTTTTTTTTTTTTGGTTTTTCGAGACAGGGTTTCTCTGTGTAGCTTTTGGAGCCTATCCTGGCACTCGCTCTGGAGACCAGGCTGGCCTCGAACTCCCAGAGATCCGCCTGCCTCTGCCTCCCAAGTGCTGGGATTAAAGGCATACGCCACCAACACCCGGCAACCCTTGTGAATTAATGGGGATGACTTACTCAACACCTGCTGGTAAATTTGCTTTCCTTTATGTGCCTGGAGAAAGGAGACAGCAGGAGAGGAGGGTAGGGTAAGGCAGCAGATGAAGGAAGAAAGGGCCTCAGAGATGTTGGGAAATACCTGGTCCATGGCAGAAGAGCAACAGAGTCCACCATGGGAAGAGAAAGGCTTATGAAGCCCAGAGTGGATGGGCAAGGAGTTACCACTGTCAAGGGATGGTGGGCCAGCATCGGGTCCCTTAAATTAGAGGAGGGGCTGGCTCAGAGCCACAGGATCTTCCCCCAGTCTTCTGTTCCCTGGGCCTTCTTGAAAGACCCTCTTCATATCTATGTTAGAAGTCCTCATCTACTTGCTCAGATCACTGGTATCCCTGAAGGTCTGGGCTTTGTATAGCCCTTGGAGCTCTCCTCCCTTCCCTGTCTGTGCAGGTGGCCACACTCTCAACTGCTACCCTTTGTACTCTCCTACATACATAGCTTGTCAATAGTCATTTGCACACTGCTATTCATCTCTTATAGGAGCCAAGCAAATGCACTCACAGTCACTTCTACCCTCACCCGGCCGTACATCCGACACAGCTTCTTCCATGGACATTTCCAGGCACACGGAGTCTCAGACGCCATCTTGTTTATTCACACACTCCTCTCCCCTGGGATCCCCTTTTAGCTCATCGAGGAGGGCTGGTGCCAGGATGTTAAAGTGTTTAGCTATAGGCTGCCACCATTCCCAAGACCCAGGTGCTCCTCAGAGGCTCCCAATCAGCCCCTCCCTCCATCTGCACACCACAGAGTACTGACTCAGAAAGTGCTTTATTGAGGAGCGATGCGCAGCTGGAATGCACAGAAGTGGCACAGTCGTGGTGATGGGTGTTGCTGGCAGCGAAAATCACATTGGGACCGTCAGGATTGGAACGCCTTCTCACCACCGAGGACCCCAGCCTCAGCTCTCCTGACCTTTGTCACGCTGAAAGGGTGGGTGTGCTCCATCCCGATTATCCCAGGGACCATCCTGGAGTCAGAGCCTTTGTTCCCCAATGAAAACTAAAGGGCAGAAAGGCTAGATGCCTGTCACAATGCACAGGGTCTGGTACAGCTAGCTCAATCTTCATCCCTCTTTCCACCTCGAGGGCCTGACTAGATCCCCTCAGTTGTATGAGGCTTCCTACATAGTGCTCAAACACCATGGAGAGGGACAGGTTTCCAGATCCAGGGTCCAGTTTCATCAATTCGGAGAGGAGGAGGAGGGAGGATGAAGTAGAGCTTAGAGACCCCAGGTCAAAGTCTGCTCCCTTCTAACGGGTGTGAGAGCCAATGCCATTATTCTCTCCCTTTTGGAGGTTCTAGAGACGGGACAGATGAGGCCACTTGTGTTCAGTCCTTGGCGTTACCTCTCCCCGCTTCTCCTGGCTCACTAAGAGGCAGCCAGGTCCCTAGGGAAGTTGTGCTGAGCCCCTTCGGTGCGCGGCAAGTAGCCGGCCGAGGTTGCTGGCGCAGGAGAGTCCAGGGCGAAGAGACCGGGCCCCGGGCTGGAGTGGCCAGAGGACGCCGCCGAAGCGGCAGGACTGAGCTGCACTGCGGTAGTGTCCTGAGCCGTGCGCTCGCTGCTCTCCATCTCCAGTGCCACGGTCCTTGCGCGCCCGCCGCCCTGGCCCTCCGTGGCTGAGGAGCGCGTGCGGGACACAGGTCCCCGGCGGCTGCACACGCAGCAAGCAGCGAAGAAGCCGAGAGCCACCACGAGCAGCGCCGGCCCCACCATCAGTGGCGCGTTGTGCCCGGGCAGGGAGGCGGCGAAAGCTCCTACCAGGGTCACGTTCAGGCCGGCCAGCAGCACGCACAAGCCACAGGCGCAGCACAGCGCCGGCGACGGTAGGCCCTTTAGTCGGCCTTGGGCACGGCCTGGGGGCACTGGGGCCAAGGACACAGTGCTTTTCTTTTTTTGCTTGTGGCATCAGCCCGCCCACGCCCTGCACGCCTCAAGCTCTGTCTGGCTGCCTGCCCACAATAGCACACATGTCAGGGCAAGCTCGCGGTGGTCCTGCGGACATAAAGCAAGAGGGCGAGTCAGAGGGGAGTGGGGTTATCAACTTCCAACCTGGGCTCAGTTCTGTGGCTATCTGCACTGCCTGCTAGTTGCCCAGGTCATCTTGGTCAGCCCTGGGAAACAACCCATCCAGATTGTTTTCCCACCCAGTCAACCGCTAGAGAACTTACCCTCACCTTTCCTCCGGGAAGCCTTCAGGCTCTAATTAAGAGGCTGCAAAGTGCTTGGCAGGTTGCTGGTTAAATGAGCCTTCTTTCTCTCTGACTATTTCTATTTCATAGTAACCAGAGGGCAGCTTTGGGGTTTTAAATAGTCCTTTTTCGCCCACCCCTCCCCCCCATCTCCACCCCAAGTGCTGGAGACCTGGGGATAATCTGGTTTAGTTTCCCCTTGCACAGGTGAAGAAAATGGAGCATGGAGATGCCTAGCAGTTTACTCAAGACCCCGACCCAGGACCCACTTGACTGTCTGCCCTAAGGCATAGCAATGACATTAACTTTCATCAGATGAGGCTCTGGTATGAGAGTCCCATGAGAACGATGAAGCTTTTGATGTTCGGCTGTCCACTGAGGAGGCGGTTTTCCCATGATCTGGACCCCTGAGCCCTTTCTAGACTGCATTCTAGTAAATTCCAGTGTTCTGCATTTACCACCCAGGATTCTGCAGCTGGACTTAGCTTCAAAAGCCTCATCTATGGGACAGTGGCTCAGAAAAAAAAAAAAAAAAAGTGCTTGCTGCCCAAGCCTGGCAGCCTGAGTCTGTTTCCTGGAACACAAGTAAAATGGTCCTGAAAACGAGTAAAAAGCCAGATGTGGTGGGCCAGCATCTGTAATCCCACACCCGGATTGCAAGGTAGGAGAGGTGGAGCAGGAGAATGGGCTGGGAGGTCACTGCTCAGTTAGCCTGGAGTTACACAGCACACAAGTAGAACTAGGAGAGACTTCATCTTTAAGCAAGGGGAAAGAAAGAACCAATGAAAAGTTGGCCTCTGACTTCCACATACATGCTGTAGCATGTATGCACCCACAGTGCAGAAGCAAGAGTAATATAGTCACTCTCTCAGAATGTGTGGCCTCTCAAACAAAACAAGAGTGGGGCATGCCATTAATTCCAGCACTTGAGAGGCAGAGGCAGGTGTATCTTTATGAGTTCCAGGCTAGCCAGGCCTACATAGTGAGACTATCTCAAATCAACAAAAACAAAAACAAAACCCCAAACCAAATCCTAGCATTTATGGGAATTCTGACTTATAACATGAGCTCCCAGGCCCAATGTCTTGGGAAAGCATAGTTTGTGAGCTGTGTTGTGATTGTGGTACAATGTCAGAAAAAGGTCCGAGAGAGAGAGAGAGAGAGAGAGAGAGAGAGAAAGAGAGAGAGAGAGAGAGAGGTCAGTTCCACAGATGGAAATGCAGGGTGAGGAATAGGAAGAGTAAGCTGGAAAAGGTAGCCTAGCACTGCTCATCTGTCTGGGGCTAATAGAACCAACATCATAGGGTATCATGAGGTTCTATTAGGGCCACTAGATACCTCACAGGATACAATGATAGTTGAATGCTTTAAGCTAAGTAAATTGCCTAAAACATCGGCAATGGACAGGAAGCACGATGAAGACAGTAGGAATCTCAGCCCTGAGAGGCAGATCATGTCAGATTTGGAAACAATAGTTTCTTTATCCAAACTCCTGACAAAGAAAGATTGTTGAGGGCATCTAAGCTGCCTCTAGGAAGCTTCTGGTGTGTGGCCCAACCAGCTTCCAGGCAGCCGCTAAAAGCGTGCAGCTGTTGACACCCATTCACACCCATATCTTCCCTGAACTACTACAGCCACTTGACACTTAATAAGCACATTTTACAGCCGAGGAAACTGAGGCTGAGATCAGGAAGTGGATGGGAGCTTTGTGGACTAAAAGGAAAAAGCACCTGAGAGCCGAGAACAGACAACGTGGTGCACACTGTACACAGCCGTGTTACATTTCAAGAGTTTTAACCCCAGGAGGTTCATGGGATTACCAGTTCTTCATCTCTCACACCCCTGCCTGTTCCCTCCCCCCCCTACAGTTACCAGTATCTGATATTCTAGGGCAAAGGCAAGGTCTTTTTTCTTGTAGTGAAGGTTTAGTTGGAGGCTGAGTGGTGGTGCCTCGGGCCCCAGCTTTGGACAAGGGGAGCCTTGGATGGCCCAAAGGCCCAAAGGCCTGAGGATCTCATTTCTTTGTCTATATAGGATCTGAGGACCCCAGATGCCCCTGGTTCTATTTTGTTATGAGGACTCTGGTTAGCAAAGCCGAGCAAGCTGTTCACTAGATATTTCAGATCTTACTGATTTGTCTCATTTTGTTTTTCTTTTGGTAGTGGTGGAGGTCAAGTTTAGGCTTAGGCTTCAATTCTTAGGTGAGCCCCTACAACTGAGCTATTTATCACTGCCCCCACCCCAACCCCCATCACTTTTTGAGACCCAGGCTCACTGAATTACCCAGTTGGCCTTGAACTTTGGATCCTCCTTAGTAGCTTGGATCACAGGCTTGTCCTACCAGGTCTAGCTGAGCTTCTCCTCCTCTGAGCACATGTTAAAACAGCATCTCCAGGGCAAGGAACTGTGATGAGTCATCCCTAAACTGAACTACTGGATTTGGAAGCTTGACCCTTTGGACTTTATTCTGTTGCTACTGCTGCAAATCCTCCAGCTCCTTTGTGTTTCATTCCAGTTTAAGCCCTCAAGCCTAGCACTTGAGCACAGGAAAGATCACTGCTCTGAATATTCAGTTGCGAAGACTAAAAGAACTTTGCTTTAGTGAGTCCGTGGAGATCACCTAAATCTAGCCCTGCTGGGGGAGTAAACCCAGGGTCTCATGCTTGGAAAGCAAGAGCTCTACCACTGAGCCACATCCTTAGACTTTTTTTTGGAAACAGGGTCTTGCTAAATTGCTAAGCTGGCCAGGATGGCCTTGAACTTGAACTTGTGATCCTTGTGCCCTCCACTCCTGAGGAGGTGAAATTACAGCTATGTATCACCACACTCTACAACCAAGTCCTCTATAGATGGGAGAAACTGAGGCTTGGAATGGGAGAGGTCATGGAGGGAGACTGTGCTAAGCCAGAACACAGCATTTACCCAGCACAGACAGGGCTCTTGACCACTGATGTTTGCTGCCCATGAACCTGGCAAAGCTGTTCTCCCTCCCCGAAGTCCCGCTTCCGGTCAGCAAGGTCTTGTGATCTTTATTTGGATGTCTAGTATAGAAGCAGTTTGGGGCAGAGGCAGGGTCAGGAACTTGGGAAAGGGTCTCAGAGGTGACCATAAATTTGGATTTCAGCTGCTAGGCAACTTGGTATAGCTGGGGTCTCTCCCCAGCACCTTAATTATCTGAATATAAAGGGAGGGATGTAGTAAGGGATGGTTATCTCTGAACTGAGGTCTCTTGTCAACCTCATGCCCCTTGTTTAACTACCTGAGGTTTGTGAAGGTAGAAATAGGGGCCAGTTTAGAAGTCCCTATCAAAACATCACAAGGTATTGTAAAAGGACCACACTGATCAGTAATATGACTGTACTTGTTCATTTCTCCAAATTCTTTGCTTTAGGCTGAATTAGGCTATTTCCCAAAGAAGTCACGGCTGTACCTGGGTTCTCTCTCTCTCTCTCTCTCTCTCTCTCTCTCTCTCTCTCTCTCTCTCTCTCTTCGTGTGTGTAGATCAGAGGAAACCTCAAATTCTTCAGATGCTACACACACACACACACACACACACACACACACACACACACATACTTCTTTTGAAAGACTGTTGCTGTTGATTATAATTACCCAGGTAAGCATCAGCAAGCTTGGGGTGGCCATCAGTAGGTAGAGCTTAGAGCTTGGGTGACAGTTTCTGCCTGGTGCCCTGTGTCAGCCTGTCTCAGACCATGAGTCTAAGATTTCTGTGTTGAATAAAAGCAACTGGCTGGCTGGCAGCAGCTGCTAGGCCTCCCAGCCCTGGCTCCTGCTTCAAGAGCCTCTGGGTAAAGCCCAAGCAAGGCCTTTGGTAAAGGCACTTTGGTAAAGTGCCCTGGCCTTGGCCTCCATGTGTGTTCCTGACTTTTTGCTCAGTCAAAGCCCTTTATTGTCCTTTGACTGGGAACTCTTCCTTTTCTTCTTAGTCCCTAAAGTTTGGACAAGGCCTGTCCTCTGGGACCCCAGACTAATGCTCACTCTATTCTCAACTCTACTCCATCCTCAGAGAGCCTCCTACATCACTGTTACTCATTGCCTGCCGGGGCTTATTCATTACGCTGCAAGTTCTCAGCTCTTGCCAAATGGATTCTGCCTCCCCAGGGCCCAGAGAGACACCATCATCCCTCTCCAGTTAATGGCCAGAACCTTTCCCACCCTCTGACATATGCAAACACATGTGTCTCTCTGGGCCCTGGGGAGGCAGAATCCATTTGGCTTCACATGCTCCTACGATGCCCCCCTGTTTACAGTGGGTCTTCATGCCTCTAGGCAGCAAGCGGTCCCAGAGCTCCTCATGGGCTGTTCCACTCTCACACTCCTAACTGTGAGGTAGGAGTCCCATTTGGAAGGTCTCCACAGGCTTTTCAGGCTCTCATTCTAGCACAGTAGATGGCCCAAGTGACAAAGGATTCTGCATCACACAGCCCTGTGTCCATTAGACCAACCTTTGTACCCATCCAGACAACAGTGGCTCTGCTGCCCTCGGTGTTTTGTTTCTTTTCAGTTCTTCCTGATGCTCTAAGATGCATTCCTAGTCCCTAGCCAGGGGACATGTATGGGCAGACAGTCTAGGCCTCCGCCTCTACAACAGTAATTGAGCTACCTGGAACAACAGGAGGGATGGTCAGTGGGGACCGTACACTGCTGGAGTGGAGCTGGCCTTCCTCCACCTCCTTCTAAGGGGTAGTGACTAGCTCCATTTCCCCCTCCTCCCTGCCCTGTCTTTCTGAGGCTCTTGCTCTATTTGTTCCTTGACTTCTTATCCCCATTTTCCAGGTCCTTCACCTCATTTCATCTACCCTGCCCCCCCATGTTGTGCCCTCTAGGACTTTGTCATCCTTGGCATCACCCTGAATCAGCCCACCTTGGAGGAATCTGACATCCTGCTCTCCACTATACTCCTGCTTCCATCATTATACAAACTCTTTGATAGCACCTACTGTGTGCCCAACAATGTCCCAAGCTGTTATGGTTCCAGCATGGCTTGTCCCTCCTAAACTCATGAAGAAATCAGGTTTCTTAGTGGTGGGGCTGGGATGTAAGGCCCATCCCTTTAAAAAGTGGTTAGGAGTTGGGCCTTTAATCCCAGTAATCAGGAGGTAGGGGCTAGCCTGCTATATACAGTAAGACCCTTTCTCAAAAAAAAGGTGATTAGGTACTGTATGGACTTCCCAGTCTCCAGAATAGTGTAAGTTACTGTAAGATTGTCTGTCTTAGGTATTTTCTTACAACAATGGAAAATAGATAATGATATAAGCCCTTTATATGTATTAATTCATTTAATCTCACAACAGTCCTAAGAAGTAAACATATTACCGTCCTTTTTTGACAAATAAGAAAGTGCAGATTCAGGTTAAATTAATTATTTAAGGACATAAACCTGGTGGTAATATGGCAGAGCCAGGTCTATGATCTAGGCTCTGTCTCCTAAGTCTGTACCTGAGCCAGTGCAGTTCCAGGACTGCACGCTGTCCCTTGCTGTAGTTGTTCTTTGACGGCATGCCATCCCCAGAGCCCTACCTCTTTGCCATGGTCCTCGTCTCTGATTCTTGCTGTGACCATCTGTTACCCACACTGACTTTACTTCAGTTCCTCTTGTGATTTTGTCTCGTCTAGTTGTCCTGACCGTGCCAATCAGCAAAGCTCAGCCCTGTCTCAGCCCAGCTTCCTGCCTTCTGTCTTCACCCAAACTCTTAAGCCTGGGAGATGAGAAGAAACCCCACTGGGCCACACCAAGGGGCTGTATACCTGCAACTGCATCTCCACGACTCCCCTTCCTGGCCTGAGCTCACCAAGCCCTCGGTGGATCATACCTCCTCCTAGGATCTGTTGCCTGTCTCATCTTCAATCCAACCCAATCATGGTTTTGAGCTAGCAGTCTCTCTGCTTTTTGAATACATGGCCTATACTCCACAATTCACTCCCTTCCCAAGGGCATCCACTCCAGTCTGACTTCTGTCCCATCATGTTCCTGCCTGTCTATTCACAAGGTCTTCAGTGACCCCTTGTCACTGAGCTTAATGAACATGGTTCAGCTCTTGGTCTCTGCTTTTGAAGCCTTCTTAACCCCACTTCCTGGGAATACCGCCTCTGTGTGTAGGTTTCTTCAATGTTGCCTTTTCCCCAAAGGTCACAGCCTCAGGAGGAAGGAACACTCAGGCTTGGCCCTGGGCCCTCCTTCACCCCAGTCTCCCTCCACACACTTGCCACCCATCTTGGGGCCCTTTAGAGCCTTCTTCCAAGGATCTTTCCAGTCCATCATTTCTTCTCTTGTCCTACTGCTCCATCTCGCTCATTCCCCATTCCTCCTCAGACTGCTGCTCTATCAGCCCACATTCCTCTAGGTACCCTCTTGACTCTGCTCTGGGGGTCTGAGCTGACCAGGTTTGGAGAGCTGCTCTCCATGTCAGCTTTGTCCTCAGCTAGCTCCCCCGGCTCTACCTTCCTGTGCAGAGAATGCATCATGGGGCCTCCTGTGTTCAGGACTGGAGTACCTACCTCTTCTCAGTGAACATTAGTGAAACAAATGGGAAGGGAACATTGGCCGTAGATGCCAGGGAAGTATTGTCTTCTGGGCTTCACTTGTCTCTGAGATTTGGAGTTGCTATCTGCCAGCTTCTCTCAGCTTTCTCCTAACTTGGGGCGTTGGAGAAAGAGTAGGGGGTAGAGGGAGGTCCCAGGGCAGACTCTTCTGTTAACAGCAGCAGGGACCAGGGTAGGGCAGGAGAGCCAAGGCAGCCAGCCAGTCAGCCAGCCGGTCTGGGGGTGTGTCTGCTGTCCTCTAATCCCCCTTTCTCTTTCTCACTTTTGTTTTCTCAAGACCAGAGATCCCTTGTGTGGTACCCTCCTTTCTCTCGGAGTTCAGAGCAGGATAAACATTTTCCCCTTCCCCTCAGCAGTCCCTCCAGAGTCCTTGCCCACTCACTAACACCCCCCAAATTTCTGTGTTGCACTTGCCTGAGAGGGCGCGTGGACACTCCCCTGCTGCGACCAGGCTGACCCCTGAGCGAAGAGACTTGCGGGGTCCCAGGGGTTGGTCAGGCTCAGGGCACGGACTGATGCCCCGCCTTGCAGAGCTGGCTCAGCAGACGACGCAGGCAGGGGCTCTGCGGGCAGGGTGGGCACACGGGGCCGAGATCCGCTGTCCTTTCTTTTCTGCTGGGTGGCAGCACCGGGCGGTGGGCTGGAGGCAACGACGCAGGCTGGGACAGCAGAACCTGCCTGTGGATCACAGCAGCCTCTTTCTGGACGGAGCCCCTTCCCCGCGCGTGGGCGGCCAACCTCGCCCAGCTCCCACCTACTGCCTCCAGCCTACAAGCTCAGCGCGTCCTTCTCGCCTTCGCTCCTTTGGGTTCCTGGTTTGCGAGCACCCCAGCAACTAATTCCCTGCCGCCCACACTGTCTAGGCTGCAGTTTATCTCACCCTGTGTGGAAACAGTGTCGCTCCTTTCAGGACGCCCCTGCCTGCAGTCTTTAGCATTTGTGCAGCCCTGGAAGGCCTGCTGCTGTGGAGGGGTTAGAGAGAGTTTTCCCAGGGGTGGGGTTTCTTTTCAACACCCCTTCCCTAATTTGAGTCCAGCACTCTAGAAAGGGGTGTGGCTGCATGCCCTTTTAAGGCATGGGATGAAGGTCCAGGAGGATGCCCTGGGCAGAGGCAGCTTGAGGCTGAACTTTATCACAGAGAGGCCTGGATAGACATGGGAGAGTGTGGCTGGAGGACACCTCTGCCCACTGTCCCTTCATTAATCTATAAATTCATTCACAAATCCACCTGATCTGTCCACATACCAGGCATCCTTCCTTCCCAGCACGGGCCAACGAGGACCTGTCAAAACAATCCTCCATTTGCAGATGAGTCAGGCCCAAGGCTTCCAGCTTCTTGCTCTGGCCCCTGGAGGCCTGAACCAAGATGGGAGTCTCAGTTCCACTCCCCTACCTGTAGCAGTTTTCCTCCAGATGGGTCCAGTAAGCAGGTGACTTCAAAGGGCTGCCCAGACCAAGCATCACCCAGCTTTGCTTTACTGCTATGTTCTCAGCACCTGGTCCAACACTGAGAGGGCTCAGCCATGGCCCAGGATCCAGGTGTTGGGGCTTCTAGAAAGAACCCATTTCCTTTCGGAGTAGACACCTGGAAGAGCTGGGTCTCTGTCGACTCCCAAACCCGTGCTGACCCTACACTGGAAGGTTCTGTTGCTGCTCAGAAGTACTGCCTAAACACTACCCAGCACTCTATTGCTGCTCTTCTCCAAGCAGGGCCAGGAGAGAAGGTGCTCTTCACGGGGGCCACTGGGGAGAGTGGGTGCTACTGGAGAGGTTGCATCTGAACATCTGCCGCTGATGGAGAATGGAGGTTCAGAAAGCTCACAGCAGGGCAAAGGGGAATGGAAGGGCCAGGCCCCCCGGAGCTCCCACTCACCACATGGCTCTGCCAGCTTCTCTAACGGATGTAGCGCTTGCTTTTTCATGTGATTTTTTTTTTTTTTTTTGTTTATTCCACAATGGCTCCTCAGGCACCAGGCTTACCATCCGATTTCAGGGAGATCCTGCCTGGGAGGATCAAATGGAGGGGAGCTACCTTCTCCCCAGCTTAGGACTTGTATCTTCCGTTTCCATTCTCTACCTTTGGGCATCTCTTTGGAGCACAGAGGTAGGTCTGCAGGCGGATAGGAGGAAGGGGTTTCTCATCCGTCAAGGAAGCTTGAGCGGTGATGATGTTGAGGAAAAGGAGGAGGAAAGAAGTGGCAAGGAGCAGGCAAAAGGGTGGAGAGAAAGTGCACCTTCCCTCAGTGGAGGAACCAGTCCACAGCTGACCAGCATTTGTGAAACCCACCCCTTGGGGATGTTGGCCCTCTGTTGGCAGGGAGCTGAGCTCTATGGCTATGCAAATGTGAGGAAAACAGGCTCTCCCACACGGCCAGTTTTCCAACATCCACTGTGTGTCTTCTGTGTAGCTGACCCCTTGCCCTCATGCTCGACGTGGAGACACAGACCAGTGCTATTCAAGTGATAGCTGTCCGTGGAACTACTGGGGCAGTGTCAGAGAAGGCTTCTGAGAGGAGTCATTTGCAAGGGTCCTGCAAGAATAAGAGTGTTCCCAGCTTGTCTTCTCCTCAAAGCAGGACAAGGAGCAGGTGTCTGTGGAGACCAAACACCCTCCACATCTGCACCTCCCGGTTGCTGTTCCGGGAGGTGCAGATGTGGAGGGTGGCGCTGTCTTCTGCCTGTGCATGTGCATCTGGGTCTCCCTGTCTCAAACCTTATGGTGGATGTGCCATAATGTAGCTCCTCAGGAAAGCCTAGTGGGTAGGCTTTTCCTTCACTGATTTTAAGCCACTAGTATTTGCTGAGCACCTACTGTGTGTCATGCTGGGTGCTAGGGACTAGGGGAAAAAAAAGCATCATTCATAATATTTAGGTAGGTTTGAGAATTGTTTTTGCAAGGTCTAGGGAAATAGCTGAGTGGTAGAGTGTTTGCCTAGCATGTACAAGAACCTGGGTTCAGTACTCAGAGTAGAAAACAAATAGAATTGCTGACTTCAGCTTGGCATGATTGAGCACAGATCAACCTAGGCTATGAGACCCTGTCTTAAACAAACAAACAAACACAATTTTTTAAAAAATTATTTATTTATTTATTATGTATACAGTTATCTGCATGCATGCTTGCACACTAGAAGAGGGAGCCAGATCTCATTATCGATGGTTGTGAGCCACCATATGGTTGCTGGGACCTGAACTCAGGACCTCTGGAAGAGCAGTCAGTGCTCCTAACCTCTGAGCCATCTCTCCATCCCCACAGTTGTTTTTGAGAAAAAGAATTCAAGCCTTCCTGGAGGTTCCAAGAGAAAGGGAGACACAGGCTGCTAGAATAGGACAAGAGGGGGGTGTAACTATGGGATTCTGAGCGGGCCTTTTAGAGGGAGCAGGGAGTCTTTTCCTTGCAAAGAGAAGTGGGGAGAACAGGAGCTTCTGGGGGCTGTCTGGAGCCAGGTGCTGAGGAGTCCTGGGTGGAGAAGTACAACAGCAATGGTGTCAGCACTGAGCTTAGCGGGAAAGTCACCTCGCTCATGGTCATTTGTGCTCCTGACATAGACATGACAGTCTCAGCTAGGAGCCCCATCTGTGGTTCCTGTGGTCAGATTCTATGGTCAGGATAAAACAACCGTCTCTGGCTGCAGTCACGACCCTGAACCAAATCCCAACAAGAGATCAACAAGGGAACAAAGTTGAGATGTTGTCCAGGGGATGAGCCCAGGGGAGAGAGTGAAGCCATTGGGGCCCTGTGGGTCATGCAACAATGCCAGAAGTGAGGAGATCTGCTATGAAGAACCTCACTGGAAGAGAAGGTAGGTCCACTATCCCCAGGGATCATCTCTGGATCTTCTAGCTTGAAGGAGAGCCCTGAGATAGCAGTACCAGGAGAGGGGAGGGAGGGATAGGAGGCAGTGCCTTAGCTCTCCTCAGTTCCCCGGCCTCCAGGCTTCAGCTTCTCCAGGGTTCTGGTCACAGTGGACAGGCTGCTACGGGCTCCTGGAGAAGACAGCAGGATGGAGATGCTTGAGTACAAACACCCATTGAGTTGTCAGGTCAGAGAGCCCAAAGAGTGGGGGGGTCAGAACTCTCCAGGACCTAGGGCAGAGGGGGAGGAGGAGGGGAGTCCTAGGGACCAAGTAGAGTGTTAGGAGGGCAGGACTCAGGAGCTGATGCTGGTCCCACTGCCTCTTAGCTGTGATCTTGGATATGTCAAGAAACCTCTCTGCCTCAGTTGCCCCATGAAAAACAAACAAACAATGAAGTTTACTGTAGCACTTCCCTGCATGTGGTTGTGAGAACCAAGCTGCTATGTATGTAAAGTGGTTGGGGCAGCATCTGGAATGAGCCCTTCTGCGGAGTAGGCACTGGGGGCAGCACACATCAACATTTGGGGTTGGGTTGCCTCAGAGACATTCCTCCCTGGGGTTTCACAGGGTGGAGGACAGGGTCAGGAGTGGAGAAGATGCCCAGTTTCAGGTATCATTGCCAAGAGCTAGACTCTAGCAGGGAGCAGAGTGGACAGTAACCAGGGCATGAGGCCCAAAGGGTAGGAGAAGGGAAAGTAGGGGGCCCTGTGTCTCAGGGTTCATGCTGGGCAAAGTAGGGAAGCCCTAAAGACAAATTGCACACATGGAAGCTGACCCAACATCACTGCTTCCCTGGGCTGGGGACTCCTCCCTGCCTATGACCCTCAAGGCTCCTCCCAGGACATATAAGGCTGCTCAGTCAGAGAGCAGAGACAAAAGATAGACTCCAGAACTTCAGGCGCTTACCTTCCTTATTGCTGCTGTTGTTAGACCTTCCCTCCCCATGGTCTGGTCCTGAGTTAGGATGGACTCTTAGGTTTCCTGTAGAATGAGATCACCCCAAATTCCCTTTTACTGGATTATTCCCAAATCCATCCAGGTTTGAGAAGGGAAGTTCTTTTTGCTGTCTAATCTCCATCCAGGGCTGTCTCCATTCTACTGTATTCCTCCAGGTCTCCCATATTATCTGGCTGGCTTGGGGAGGGGCAGGAGAATTGAGTCCTTGAAGGAGGTGGCAGTGGTATCTATCTGTCTGTGTATCTGTCTGTGTGTCTATCTATCTATCTATCTATCTATCTATCTATCTATCTATCTATCTATCTGTGTATCTATCTATCTGTGTATCTATCTATCTATCTATTTATCTATTTATCTATGTATCTGTGTATCTATGTATGTATGTATCTATCTGTGTATCTATCTATGTATCTATCTCTATCATCTTTCTTTCTTCCTTTCTTTCTTATTTTTTTAAAGATTTTATTTATTTATTATGTATACAATATTCTGCTTCCATATATATCTGCACACCAGAAGAGGGCACCAGATCTCATAACAGATGGCTGTGAGCCACCATGTGGTTGCTGGGAATTGAACTCAGGACCTCTGGAAGAGCAGTCAGTGATCTTAACCTCTGAGCCATCTCTCCAGCCCTCTTTCTTATTATTGAGACAGGGTTTCTCTGTGTAGCCCTGTCTGTCCTGGAACTCAATGTAGACAAGACTGGCCTTGAACTCACAGAGATCTGCCTGTCTCTGCCTCCCTAGTGCTGGGATTAAAGGCATGTGCCACCACTAATCGACCAGGGGTGACAGGTTTTTAAGGAGGGAACTAGGGATATATATGTGAAGCTACACAGGACTGAGGGCGTTGGGAGTCTGGATGTAGGCTGTAGAAGTAAGAAGGGAACTATTAAGAGGTCATGGAACCCAAGGGGAGGTAGAGAGCTTTTATGGGACTTGAGGATCTGGAGATCTTGGAGACTTTGGGGAAGTGAAAAGATTCTTAAGGTAGATTCCTGAGGTTTAGCTATGTCTGCTCAGGCAGATGGCTGGATTCTGCTACTCTGTAGCCATGGTGACACTGGCATACAACACACACACACACACACACACACACACACACACACACACACACACACGCTCCAGTATGCAGCCAGGAGCAGTCTCACACATGGGCATGGTCAGTGACTCACAAGTTTGCACACAAAAGGTATTGCATCATACTTGTCAGAGGGCTTGTGGGGGAGGAACCACTCACCTAGTGCAGGTAGGATGTGGTCCAGATTGAACCGAGCCTTCAGGAAGGGGTAGGCGAAGATGAGGAGCCCTGAGGAGGGACACAGAGAATGCTGGGAGTGGGTGGTTTGTGAGGTGATGTAGGAGGGCAGAGGTACAGAGGATCAGGACTCTGTGTGTGTGTAGGTGTGTGTGTAAGTGTGTGTGTGTGTAGGGGTGTGTGTGTATATGTGTGTGTAGGTGTGTGTGTAAGTGTGTGTGTGTAGGTGTGTGTGTGTGTGTGTAGGTGTGTGTGTAAGTGTGTGTGTGTGTGTGTGTGTGTAGATCCCCAGCACTCAGACTCAGCCCTGGCAGGGTCTCTATCTGGGGAGGGGGGCACAGGTTTGCAGGCTCCTGGTTCGATTGTTTAGGTTTAGCAGGCTGGTTACTTTCCTTCTGGGCCAGCTGACACCAGTATCACTGCCCTCCCCCTCAGCTCTCTCCTCTCTCAAGACCTCTAGGGTGGCCTTCTAGGATCCATTGCTGCTCCTTCCCACTCAGGCCTGATGTTTAGGAAGCCATAGGCTGGGGTCCTGGCCCACTGTCCCCACAGATGAAGTGTTTCTGGCACTCTGTGTTTGAAGCTATGCCTGGAGGGCCCAGCCTGGAGCTCCAGGTTCTTCTGGGACAGTGGGGTGGGGTGAGAGATGGCATTCTACATTAATGGGCCTAGCCAGGACAGACAGACAGACAGAACTGCTGCTGACACAATGGAGGAGAGGAGGGTCTTTCGTCTGAGCTATGAATCTTCCCATAAACACGTGATCCCACCAGGTAGCATGGAAGGTATGAAGAACCAGTCTATCCTTCCTAGTCACACCCAAAGGAGCTCCAGGCTGGCTACCTTCCTGCATACTGGGGCTATAGTACTTACAACTTCCTCTCTCCCCAACTGATTTCCACTGACCAGTCCTGCCCCCCACACCCATCTTTCATTTACCTCCCCAGACCCCTGATTCCCAGGGAAATCTCCTCCCCCCACTTTAGGCCAGTGCCTGCTCACCAAGACCAGCGGCACCAAGAAAGATACCACCCACAGCAGCTGCAGCCTTGGACACGGAGACACCGATGATGGTGCTGCCAGCCACCAGGCCGAGGGCCACACAGGCCAGCTGCAGGCAGCGGAAGTCTCTGGTGCTGATGGGGATGTCCATGCAGGTCTACCAGGGCTCTGCTTCCAGGCCTCCTGGGAATCTTGGTCTTCTTGGATGGATGCCTCCTTGTTGGAGTGCCACATCCAGGGTGGAAACTTCTGGGCTGTAAGTCTCTAGGCCGCTAACTCTGGGATTCATCTGCAACCTTATCCCACAGCTCTCCAGGGGCCCCCAGCCCTAGCTTGACCTCAGCACCCCGGCTTACTCTACCTCCTGTGAAGGGCTGTGATGCTGGAGGCCACTCTTGGGGTTCCTGCCTGGCCACATTTCTATCTTGGCCAGAGTTGTAGGGAGGTGGGTCTGCTCCATGGAGTCCACCTCTATCAGCTACCACCTGGGACCCAAGAGAGCTGGGTCTAAGTTCTCCTGCTCAAGACTTTTGTCTCAGTTCTGTGACCCTGCTCTGTTGCCTTGGAGCTTGGGCCTATTAAAGTTTAAAGAAATGCAAGGTGGGGTTGGTGGGGGGGGGCAGGCCTAGGAACATAGGTTTCTCAGATGTGCAGGCAGCAAGGTGATGAGTTATTCACGAGCCTGTAATGTGAGCTTCTGTTTGGGTCTCCAAGGTCCAATGGGCAGGCAGCCCAGGTTCCACTGTTGGTTCCTGGGCAAGAAGACTGGACTTGTGGCTTCCTATGGTGCTCAGGGGGTAGGGATGTGAGGAGACTCCCCAGTCGCATGCTCAAGGCTGACCACTGGCCTCTACTCCCTAGTGGTGCACCTAGAGCCCTGTTTGGAGACATGGAAGGATGGGGTAATCCTTCAAGTCCCCTCTCTGCCAGGCCCCTCCCATGCTTCTTTTACCATCCTGTCAGCTGCTGGCCCAAGAGAGGTCTCAGTCCAAGCCTTGATCTTAAAAAGGCCCATTTATCTTAGGCAGGCATTGGTAGCACTGGTTTTAGCTGCCAGTAGGATGAAAGGCTAAGCCCTGGTGATTCCCGGCTAGGAAATTGGAGGTAGTAAGTAGTGAGTTAGGGTAGGGTTGGATAGAGAAACTGGGTGAGGTGTCATGGAGCTGAGACATGCTGGGGACCTTTTAGCATGAGTAGCTCTACCCAGCCTGGCTGGTCTAGTCAGTCTGTTTAGAGGAGCCACCAAACTGAGCCTGAACAGTAGGATCCTAGTGAAGCCTTGTCCCAATTCCTGCCCCGTCCTTGAGCCTAACTCTAACCCTTGTCATTAATTGATTCCTGAACCTATATCAGGGTATTCCCAATCTTCGAGCATGGGCCTGTTCCCTGCTCTAACCTGGGGACACTTCCCAAGGCAACATTACTCTGCTTAGAATCCCTTTTCATTGCCCAACTCTTACCACCATGCCTGCAGTCTGCACCAGCCTCAAAGTTCCCTGCCTCCACTGGGTCTCCCTCCTCAAGCCCTCTCTCTCCTTTTGAGCTGAGCATATATCTGGCTCTTTCTGTCTAGTAAACCAAGCTCTCTTTGTCCCTCAACACCTACATAGACAGTCCTTCCTGAGCACACCTGGGCTGCCCTGCCACCCCACCTGAAGGGCTCCCTCCTCTTCTTTGTTCTGCTTCTCCTGGAGATTGTGAACTTTGCAGAATGCCATGGTCACAGAGACCTTGGATACAGGACAGAGCTCTGGGCTTGGCCCTGCATTACCACCTTGAGTCATAAGGGAGGAAGACACCAACCAATTCTTTTCTTGCTGTAGAGTGGGAGAGGGGCTAAGGTCTCAGGATCATCTGAGGAGAGCCTCAGCTGTAGGACCACAAACATAGATCGCCCTCAGGCCCTGTAAAGATGGTGCCCCTGATTCCCAGGAGGCCTGGAAGCAGAGCCCTGGTAGACCTGCATGGACATCCCCATCAGCACCAGAGACCTCCGCTGCCTGCAGCTGGCCTGTGTGGCCCTCGGCCTGGTGGCTGGCAGCACCATCATCGGTGTCTCCGTGTCCAAGGCTGCAGCTGCTGTGGGTGGTATCTTTCAAGCCTTCCCACTACCATCTCCATGTTCCCAGGATAAGGACTGAGTTTTCCTCTAATTTGGCATCAATTTATATCCCATGTCCTTGTCATTTGCAAAGCATCTCTGAGGGCTAGCTAATGTTCCCTCAGGAGTTTCAACACCCACCATTCACAATGCCTTGCCTCCCATTCAGCCTTAAGTGTTGACATCACTAGAGGTTAGTAGGGTCAGTACTGGCTCCTCTCAAAGTCCAAGGCTGAGGGTGGCTCTCCCACACTGTCATCAAGACAAACCTCCTGGGGCTGGGCTGGGTTTTCACACTTGCTCCATCTTGCATCAGGCACTTGTACCAGTTACTGTACCTCAGGCCAGAGGCAGTGGCCAGCCCTGTGAATTCCAGATTCAAGAACACCCTGATCTTTAAAACCCAGAGACTGAATTCGAATTTAGACATTTTGTTTGGCAATGTAGATGTGCTGGGGAGATGATTCCATCAGTAACGTGCTTGTTGTGTAAGCATGGAGACATGAGTTTGACTCCCAGGACAAGCATTAAAAGCTGGGTGGGTGACATGCACTTACAATTCCATTGCAGTGGAAGGCATAGAGTTAGGTCCCTGAAGTTCACTGGCCAGCCAATGTAGCAGAATCAGTGTAAGTCTCAGGTCCCCACAAGAAACTTCGTTTCAAAAACAAAACAAAACCCTAAGATGGATGGCCCCTGAGTTGTAACACCTGAGGTTGATCTCTGGCCTCTCTATGCATGTACACACATGTGCACATGCATATGTGCGCGCGCACGCACGCACGCACACACACACACACACACACACACACACACACACACACACACACACACACCTGCACACACAAATATGGAGAGAGAGGCTCTCCTATTCCTCCTTCAGTGTTTGCTAGACTGTCCCTTAGGAAAATACATGCTGGTCCTTGAGTGATTTGCTTGAAGTTATAGATGAGTTCAAGGAAGCTGTCTGTGAAAGACAGTGAGTTTCAGCAGCCCAAGTTCCATGAGTTCCTAGCCCTTCCAAGTACCAGAGTCCTTCTCATGGGAGCACGGGTTATCCTGGCACAACGGACTGAGAGCACAACTAAGCCATGGCTCATGCTGGGTCCCGCCATAGCATCTCTCTAGTCTCCCAGCAAGGCAACGGCTGAGAGGGTGTATGCCTAAGGGGTGTCTGCCTATGGTGGGTGTCTGCCATGGAGGTGTCTGTCTATGCCCTTTCTTTCTCAGAAGCACCAAGTCCAAGTGTGGGTTGAGTATGCGGAGGGAGAGTGGTTGAACAAGCCCCAGCTTGGCTTGGTTCTATTTATTTTCCATGAAGGGTGAGAACCCTAGAACAGAGTGTGATTAATTTACTGGTCCCTTGGGGGACGGCAGTTTTCTTGGATGGTTCAGAAGCTGAAGTCAGGGAAGCAGCTTCCAAGGCAACTGCTACCATGGAAACAAGAATGTCAGCCTTGTAGGACCTTGTTCCTAGGGTCCCTGAAGACCTGCAGCCGCTGGAGTAGTTGGCATGAGACCAAAGTAAGCTGTCTGTGGAGCTGAGTCTGGTGAGGGGCAGTGGGCCAGGAGGGAGAAGAGCCCTGGAGGTCAAGACTTGATTATGCCATGGCCGGGCTCGCAGGGTCCAAATGAGCTAGTACTGGGGCTAGACAATTGTCCTCTAGCTAGATCTGAGAAATGAGGCTTGATGTCTGAGACACTCTAGATGGCTGGGACCAGCTCCCCTCCCAAGATGGAAGGCCTGGCAGAGGAAGTTGATAGTGTAGACACGAATGTCAACAGCCTCTGTCAGCTCCTCGAAGCTGGCTCCCTGAAGACCAGTGTGATCCCTAAAGCTGCAAAGCTGGCTTTTACCATCCCAAGCGTCAACATCTGGACAAGAATCCACCATCCAGAGCTTCCTCAAAGCATTCACCACACCTGTTTCGATCCAGCAGAGCAAGGACATCCAAGGTACCCCAGTGAGTGGAGGTACAAAACAGAAGAAACCAGGATTTCCACCTTCCAATAGCAGGCTCTTCCCTGGCACCACGACTGCCCCCACCACGGGACAGGGACCCCAGCACATAGTGGTGTGCAGAGCAGCCTCTCAAAATAAGGATGCCAGGGGCCAGAGGCCTGTCGCATCTCTAAGTCAGATCAATCTGTATACTGCACAGGGGGCTCTCAGTGGGCTCAGTGAGCAAGATGAGGGCAGCTTCTTTCCAACAGTGGTGTTGTAGCTTTATTAATCCCACTCATGAGACAGGGTAAGTAGAACCAAGACAACCAAAGAGGATGCATCTGAAACACATGACTCTTCACCTTCATTTCTTTGTAATGTTTACAGCTTGGTGAGCTAAACACCACCATCCCCATTTAGAGCTAAAAAACACTCATAAGTAATTTGCCCAGGAAACAAAAACATGAGTGGCTGAGCTGGGACTTGGACCAAAGCAGCAAGGCTCTGGGTTCTAAGCCTCCCTGGAAGGAATTCAAGTCCCACCATTCATTCCTAGCTATACAGCTCTGGGACATCTACTTTTACTTTGTCTGCCTGTTCTTCATGTCCAGTGGGATAAAATAATACTATGTACCCATAGGACAGTTGCATAAATGAAATGCCTGTAAACTCCTTGGAATGGACCTACTACTTAATAAATGTACAATTGCTAGCAAAGCTGAAGCTGACAAGCCAGGTGATAGTAACACAAACCTTTAATCCTAGCACTCGGGAGGCAGAGGCAGGCAGATGTCTGTGAGTCCGAGGTCAGCCTGGTCTACAGAGTGGGTTCTAGTACAAGCTCCAAAGCTACACAGAGAAACCCTGTCTCAAAAAACCAACCAGCCAGCCAGCCAGCCAGCCAACCAACCAACCAACCAACCACCAAACAAACAAAAACAAAAAAAACCCTGAAGCTGGCACAGTATCACTTAAATGGCTAAGGGAGAGGACCTCACTATGTGGGCCAGTATGAGGAGGTCAGAGAAAGGGCACAGCTTGAGCAAAGGACAGAGGGATGAGAGCCTAGGGCTTGGGCTGCAGCAAGACTGGGGATGGTGACAGAACATATATGACCTGGGAAGGGCCTGAAGACATCTTCCTACTGGGGCCATTCTGGAGGACTGAATAGGCCAGAGCTTAAGTCCACAGACAGAATTCATTTCTGAGCTCTGATGTCCAGGGGCTTGGAGCCTTTGGGCCATTCTGCAAATCTGCTTTTCTATCTGGCCTCACTTCAGATGGATGAAGGGATGCAAAGGGAAGACTGACCATCAACCATGCCACTACAATGTGTGTTCATACTATGGGATAGCTGGTAGCCCATGACCTGAACCCTGAGCCCATCCAGATTCCTTCTTTGCACCTCCTTGGTCTCTAGTCTGGCTGTGGGTGGGAGGCACCATTTCTCGTTGTCATCAGCTCTGGTAGGACAAGTTCAGTCTTGGGCATACAGCAGGTCCTCAATAAAAGCATAGTAATGCTTTAGACAGAGAAATATGGTCTTTTGTGGATGGGTACAGGGTCATCTATCATAGCTCCTTCTCAAGTCTGCTTGTGTGATGACTACTGACCTAATTGCAACCTCTTCTCGACATACAACTGTTAAAAAGCAGAATCATTTATTGTAGAAGTGGTGTTGGATGAATTTCATTTCCTCATCTACAAACAGAGAAGCAAAGCTCTCCATCTCACCTTGTGGATCAAATGTGCTATTATACTTGGGAGTCCTTCCCATAATCTGACTAGGCTCAGGCCCCATCCTGGAGGCCTGCCTCCTCTTCAAGTTTGCCATTGAAGAAAGGACCACCAAGGCTGTCAGATGGAATTTTAAATTATTTATTAAAACAAACGCAATTTAAGAGAGAATTTTGGTGATTGTGGTTGAATAATGTGTGTGTCACATATGCAAATCTGTTTTCTTTATGCGACTCCACAGTATATATGACAATGGCTACACCACCATGTCTGGAGCTGAGGGCACTGCATCCCTCAGAGCAAGGCAGCAGGGCCGCCTGTGACCTAGGTTCATGTCAGGCACAGCAGTCTAACTGCCCTGGGTTTGTGCCTGTTTCCATAAAAGACCTGGGAGAAGGCAGCAGCAGACGAAGACACCATCTCTAAAGTGTATGTCATAGTAACAGCTTAAAATCAGTTGGGACTGTGGAGAAGAGGGGATTAAAACCCAAGCACATGGAAACCCTGCTTGGGGAAGTCCATGGACTTGCAGTGGGAGTTTGAAGTTCTATGCTTGCTGGAAGACATGGTTAAAAAATATTTTAAAAAAGAAATAATACTGAGTCTATCAGCAATCCCAAACATGGAAGAGGATGATAAATGAGGAATACATTTCGGTCACGGCAAAGAAAGATTATGTGCTTCTCTGTGCTACAGACTGGAAGACTGATCTGGCTTCCTGCCCTTCCTGAATTGAGGGGATGGCTTTGCTCAGCCAGGGAGAGGACAGTCAGCGAGGACGTCTGTAGGACAGAGGAAGGTGGAAGAATTGCCAGAAGGTGACAGTGCAGGGAGAGAAGAGGCATGTGTGTCAGCAGCCTCTGTCAGCTCCGGGAAGCTGCTCCCTGAAGGCTGCGGCCCCAGCAGCCCCCACCGCCAGCTGGATCCGGGATCTGCACACAGCGAGCACTTGGAGCCCAGCAAAGAGATGTTCATGCTGCAGGCGATTATGCAAAGTGACAAGTGATTGCTTTCCTTTTCAAAGACAACCCCTTTGGAAAAAGCTTTTTCCTCTAAGGACCCAAGGGAAATGGGGGATGGGTGGGAACCCATGGAGCCTTTGTGGATGGAAAAGGCCCGCCTGGAGCTGCAGGGCAGGTAGGTCCCTCTGCTTGCTTCATTCTTTGACCTCACAGGTTTCCAGGGGGCATCGCCCGGACTGGCCTACAAGATGTGCCTGCAGTGGTTCAGAGCCCCATGGATGTTGAACATGGGTTTGCATCCCTGCTTCGTCCAGCCTGGGCCAGGGCTCGCCTTCGTGCCAGGCGAGATTTGGAAGGAGGGGACAGCTTCATGGAGCAGAGGCCCTCAGCAAGGGCCTCAGGTTCCTCAGCCAGTTCGTTCTCCTCATGCTGAGACAGCTGGCGGTTAAGGGCAATTGCCTCGGCTGCGAAGAGTGTCAGGTCCATGGTGCTGCTGTTTCTGTAGGGACCAGGAAAGGCATGGAGAAGAGGGCAGCAGGATTGAGATCAAGCAGGCAGGCTGGCAGATGCACCCACTCACAGCTAGGTCCTACAATCCAGCATATTTTCCTGGGTCAGCTGCTCTCTCCAAAGTGGCTTTGCCTGGGTTTGGAACCTTGCTTGACTAAGATAAGAAAGGCCTTTGAGCCTCATGGGCTGGACAGTCAGGGCAAATGGCCTCTTCTCAGAGCACCCACCTCCAGGCTCTTCCCACGCCAAGAGGCTGCACTTGTCTCTGTTTTCCTGCGGGGAGGGGCTCTAGTACAGGGCCTGAGCTATTTATCTCTGTGCTTCTAGAACCCAGTCCAGGGCAAGCATCTGCCAGACACTTTGGGTCTGTTGAATAATCATCTAAGAGGGACCCAGGGTTTGGCACTTGGAGGCATCTGCAACAGCTTTAGTCAAGTGGGAAGCCAGCTGTGTGGAGGCAGCCTGGGGTGGACAAAGGGAGACTATTCTGGGTAGTTTCTCCTAAGAGCTGCAGTGGTCCAGAGCCCCATGGATGCTGAACATGGGTTTGCACAAGGTTGGGTCCCTAAGGGGGTTTCTGTTCAGCTTAGCTCCAGCTCTGTGGGCAGAGCTTGGTAGAAATTTATCCAGAGCTGCTATGGGTCCCAGCACAAGTTAATTTGAGCCCACTGATTCTTGCCTTTTCCATCTCTAAAATGGGGGCTGGAAAACTTAAATTTGTTTGTAAAGACTATGGATCTAGCACAGTCACAGACTGCAGGGCATTTCAGTTGCTGACAAGCGCACATGATGGTATCACCCAGTGTTATCTCTGATGTTTGTACACTATGGAATTATATTTCTCTCTCTTTTCTGTTTTAAGTGCTGGAAACTGAAGTCAGGGCCTTGTTGATACTAAGACCATGTTCTACCCCTGGACTACGTCCTCAGCTTTAAGGATCTGCATTTTTCTCATTACATTTCTCAGGATGGACTCTGGCCTTTGAGCAGCAAATGACTGTGTATGAAATACCATTAGTACTACACTGGGCATGTGGTAAGCATTTAAGACATAGAGTCCATTAGCATTCCTGTGTGCCTAACAGCGTATGTGAGTTGTCCCTCTACCTTACAGTGGCCCCGACTCCCTCTCCTACCAATGCTAGGAGCAGGACCCCTCCCCCCACCCCCCAGGGATGATCCACAGATAAGAACCATCTTTGTGGGGTAAATGATGATTCATAGTCATATTCAAGTGGGTAGGAAACAGGGGTTTGCTGCAAAGAGAGGCTGAGATGAAGCTAAGAGAGAGATCCATGTGGAGATTGTCGAAAGAACTCTCTGGAGAAGGCCTCAGAGCCTGAAGATGGGTCCATTTCCCATACAGGCTGAGGACTTGAGGGAAAGTCAAGGCTAAGGTGAGAGGGCAGCGGGTAAGACAGAAGCATTTACCTCTGGAGGACTTGCGGCGTGGGGAGTCCCCTTTCTGGAGCTTGCTAGAATGGAAGGACAGATAGTGGGTAATGCTGCTCCCAGCTTCCAAGAGCTGCCCCCACCCAGGCCAACAGAAGGGACAGGTTACTACAGGTGCTTGGCCCAGCACAAGGATTTGGCTATGCTTGCTGAAGGGTTAGACCTTCTGGAGAGAGAGAGAGCGAGAGAGAGAGAGAGAGAGAGAGAGAGAGAGAGAGAGAGCGCAAGAAAGGTACACTTTGCTGCTTCTGCAGATAGCCACCCCTTCCTATTAAAGTCTTAATTGTTCTCTAAGACCCAGTTCAAAGGTCTCTTTCCCTGTCGTCCCCCCCTCCCCCATTTCAGCAGAGGCCTTGCTGCTTTGTGCACCTAACTATTTCTATAGCATCTACCACACCATTCTACAAGGTCTACCTCTCTCCACTGGAGGGAGAGACAGACCTGGGCCTTACCCATATCTACTGCTTGGCTCTGACATACAGTGGATGAGAATTAGAACTGAGCTACTCTGATCTGATGTCACTCTGGGCTGGGCAATGCTTGCCTCCTTCCAGTGGCAAGATGAAAGAGGGCTGGTTAGGGTCTGGCAGACCAAGGACACAAAGACTTCTTGGAGGGGAAAAGCTCAGATATTGTGACTGACTATGAGGGATTTAAAGTTTTATAGTGAGGACTTGGTTCCTGAACTCATGGAAAACAACAGCACTTGCCATTTAGGCCCCTGCACCCTAAGCCCTAGTTACAAAGAGAATCACATGACCCTAGTGCTGCCACATAAGCTGCAAGACCTTGCTTGCCTCAGGGTGCTCTTAGCTAATAACAAGTTTATACCATAGACCCTAGATGGTAACTCCAGACTGCTTCCTGGGATGGACATCTGTGCTAACAGAGAGACCCATGTGTCAAATCCTCAGAGGGCTTTAGGGGTTTGGTCTGTGCCCAAGGTTAGAGGCAAGTCTTTGACACACCAAGGAGCTGAGCCAGGAGTCAGAGCTCCTTCTACCAAACAATAGCTGAAGCTGCTGTCTCACTTATTCTCAGCCTGGGGCAGCCACACTCTCTGGGGTGAGAGCTTTCTTGTGACACCTTCAACAGGCCAGCAGAGATCCCATGCCATCCATCCTACAGTCACTCACCCCTTGTACCCACGGGTGCTGCAGAACTTGGGCAGCGCTGAGTCTTTGCTTTGCATCTCGAACCAGGAGCTTAGAGATGAGGTCTTTGGCCTCGTTGGAGATATGAGACCAGTCCTTGTCGGGAAACTCGTATTTGCCTTCTTGGATGCTCTCAAACAGCTTGTTCTAGGCATAGAGAATTCCTTCTGAGGTCACATTGGCCAGGGATGGGCAGGATATGCTGCTGCTAATCTGGTCACCCTGGCTCCAACTCTGCTAGAAGGGCTGCTTATGGTCTGAGAATGCCATGGGCAGAGCCTCCTTCCAAAATCTCCCCAGGTCTCCCAGTAATACCCAATGACTTTGGAAGGCAGAAATGGCTACACCAAGAGAGGTGATGTGTAAATATCGCCCACAGACTATCCTGGCAACCTCCTCCCACCACCAGCATGCTAACCCTCTCCTCCCTACAGTGTACATGCAGTAGTTTCATGCCTCCATGTCTCGGTTTATGCTTGTCCTAACTACAGTTCTTGTCTCTTCCTCAAGCTAGATGAAGCTGGGGTCTGTTTAGGTCTGCTCTTCTCAACAATCCTCCCCCAGAATGTCATCTGTCTGAATGCATATCTCTATTTTACCTCTGGCTTCCTTCCCTACCAGAAGAGGGCACCAAAACCCCTCCCAGATGGGACAGTCTCCTATCCTAAACCTGTGTGGTACCCCACCATCAGGCTGACCCCCACCTATTCCCAGTGAGGCCCAAGCAGCACTTACCTGGCACACCCTGCATACTTCTCCCCGGTCCCAGCCACAGTCAGCCCCACAGTGACCTACAAAGGGGGGGTAGCCACTCAGCATGATGTAGAGGACCACACCCAGGCTCCACAGGTCACAGCGCTTGTCATAGAAAGTGGCCTCGTCCCTAAAGACCTCTACCACCTCAGGTGCCATATATTCTGCAGAGCCGCACTGTAGGGCATGGGAAGGGGAGATGGCAAAGAGAGAGGGTGAGTTCAAGGGCGAGCAGATGGCAAAGTGCAGAATGTGATTCAAGCAAGAGGATGGAGGGATAGTCACAGACTAAAGTCCTTGGGAAAGCTGTAGGACTCCCCCGTACCCCAAGGACACAAAGAGAGGTATCACCCGCTTGTGTTCTTGGTTCTTCCTCCAGTGGCCCCAGGTAAGGAGCTCCCTACTAAATCTCTCTATAAAGCAGACCCTGTATGTATACACTTACATGCCAAGAATGGCATGGTGGGGGATCTGTGGAGATTTGCCTTTTCCTGCAGGGAGTTTTTCAAAGTGATTCTTGCCAGCTCTTCACTAGCTTAGAGGAAGGAAACCTCGGGGTTTAAAATTCAGAGGCCATTGAATCTTGAAGCGTTCTGATGAAATGTCCAGTCTCCCTGCCCTTTAGAAAGGGAAGGCTCAGGATGGACAGCGGCACAGCTGTGGCAGTTGGGCCAGGATCCTCCCAGGCCTTGCACAGAAGACTGCTGAGAGGAATTAAACACATGTATCTTGCTCCCCCCTCATTATTTCAGGCTCACCTACTCCTACCCACTCCTTTCCCCCACCACTCCTATCTAATTTGATTAGAAGATGGTGAGTGCTCTCAAGAACAGATAATATTTTCTGTTACTGGCAATTAGAGTTAATGAATTCCAGAACAAGGGAGCACTATATGTTGGATGCCAACGAGGAAACATTCCTAATAATGTTGTTTAGAATGAGACACAACACAAGCATATTTAAAGGCAAATCTTAAAAAAAAAAAAGGCTATTAGGAAAATTCACTGATGAAGCATGCAAATCTCAAAAGAATCATCCTAATTACAGCATATTAAGGATGTGGGAGAGCGATCTTCCGGAGAAGCAGCTCCCAATGCTACCATTTGAAATGTGAAGGGGGAGAAACAGGACAAGTGATCCTCTGTGCGTGTGGCCTGGGACTTCACAGTTTTCCCACAGAGTGGGAAAACACACTTTCCTGGGCGGGATGATTGCTCTTAGTCTCTACCACAAGGGGGATGATGCACTGACTTCAGCAGGGATAAGGGACTTACAGGCTCTCTACAGCTTCTATGCCATAGGGCAGGCTGTGCAGTGTCTGTTTTCATCTGGGACAAGAGATAGGATGCAGTTGGTATTTGTGGAGACAATGGGTTCTTTTTTGGCAGAGGGGACTTACCCCAAAAGAAAGCTCCAATGGCAGTTTCATTAGCTACTGGGTGGGGATTGGCTTGAGAGCCAGGGGGCCACTTAAGTGCTACCTGGAATTTCCTTTCCTATCCCTCTGCTCAGGGTGTCACAGATTCACATGCTCCACACATACAGCAGCAAGGCACAGGGCACTAGGCATACATACTGGAGTGGTCAGCTCTGGTGTGGTTATGGGTGTGCAGGAGTTGTTCAGTTTCACCCCACTGCCCAAGTCAAAGTCACAGATTTTCACTGGAGACACCTACAAGGGAAGACAGAATTCAGGGGCTGTCACAAGAAGCTGGAGGTCTTGGGGACAGCAGCATGACAAAGGCTTGGCAGTCAACAGCAGCTGCTCTATCTGCCAGGCCATATTTACTGTCCTTGGGTTAGCTAGGCACCTGAGGACTGACTCTAAGCTCTCCTCTTCCCTTCTCTCTCTTATTTCCTAAGGGAGAAGGAGCTGAAATAGATGGTATTAAGATTTTGGACCTTATTATGATTCTCTCCCCCTCTCTTTTTTTTCATCTAGCCTCCCTCCCTTCCTCTTTTCTTACCCCACCTCCCTAAACAGGGTCTCTCTACATAGCCTGGCTGTCTTGGAACTCAGCTATGTAGACCAGCTATGTGACTTCAAACTCACAGAGAGATCCACCTGCATCTTTTTCCTGAGTGCTGGGATTAAAGGTGTGCACCACACCTCTTTGTTTTAGCAATTCTTAAATTACGACCTAGTGGCATCAATTATATACACCATTACCACCATCAGTTTCCAAAATTCTTCCATACCTCCAAGTGGGGACTAAACTCTAGCAATTACTGCCCATTTTTGACCCCCAGCTCAGGCAACTCTAGCCTACTTCTGTCTTGATTAGTTGGCCTGTTTTAGATATTTCACCTAATTGGAACATACATATTTGTAAATGGACTCCTTTCCCTTAGCATAAATGTTTTCACTGTTGTTGTTTTGGGCAGTGCTGGGAATGGAAGCCCAGGCTTTGTGCACACTAGGTTAGTACTCTCCCACTGCCCTATCTCCTGTCCTGGCATAAATGCTTTCAAGATTGATGTATGTTGTAGTAGGTATCAGAGCTTCATTCTCTTTTAGGGCTGAGTAATAACCCTTTGCATGCAGAGGTCACATTTTGTTTATCCATTCTATTGATGGTCACAGGGTTGTTTCCATGGTGGCTACTCTGAATAATGTTGCTACACAGATTAGCATACGAATACCTGCTCTAGTTTCTCTTTTCAATTTTGAGCACATTCCCAGGAGAACTGCTGAGTCATGCAGTGTTTCTACCCTTAGCCTTTGGAGGGTCTGCCAAACCATTTCCCATATTTCAAAGTACCAGCAATGTATGAAGATTCCAACTTATCCACAACCTCACCATCACTAATCATTTTCTGGTAAAAAATACAGCCGGGATGGAGAGATAGCTCAGCCGTTAAAGGCTAGGCTCACAACCAAAAAATCTAGCCATCCTAGTAGGTGTCTAGTGGTGTCTGCACTTTGATCTGTAGTTCACTAACAACTAAGGGTGCAGAACATCTTTTCATGAGCTTGCTAACCATCTGTAGGTCTTGGTATAAAGTCTACTTCCTCAAGCCCTTTGACCATTCCAGAATTGAGCTGAGGCTCTGTTGTGGAGTTTTAGGAGACCTTTATATATTTTGGATGTTAAATAAATGATTTCCAAATATTTTCTCCCATTATTCAAGTTATCTTTTATGTTTCTTGATAAGGCCTTTTGACATTTAGCCTCTCTTAAAATTTAGTTTTTCAACCATAAAAGGGGCAAGAAGCATGTGTAGTGATATATTATTCATGATTTATTAAAGCTTGCCTGAGGATTCAGAAAGCAAGTCAGGTATAAGCCATAGAAGCCAGGCACATACCTTTAATCCCAGCAACTAGAAGCTAGGAGGTGGTGGTACACACCTTTAATCCTAGGACTCAGGATTAAGTCCAAGGCCACCCAGATCTACACATAGTGAATCCATCTAAAAGAGAATTATAGCTCACATCTTTCATCCCAGGACTCATGAGAGGTATATAAGTCAGTATCAGGATTCAGTATAAGGCATTCGTTCTCTGGACACGCTGAGGAGAGGCAGTAGTTTGAGACTTTGTGAAGAGCTCGTTTGTGGATCGGCCCTTTCAGCCTGAGCTACAGGTGAGAGCTAGTGGCCAGCTACTTTGCTTCCCTGATTTTCAGCTTGAACCCCAGTATCTGTCTTTGGGTCATTTATTGATTCATGTTACAAGCATGTACCATAGAGAACAAATGAAACAAAGGAGAGGAAAACATCTTGTAAGTCAGAGGCTGTAATGGGAAGTTCTGAGCACCCTTGGGGCTCAGGGCCAGGATACCTTAGTGTTTGTTCATCCAGGTTTTTCCATTTACCAGGGAATGATTTTGTGTAAATTTAAAAAAAAAACCTCTCTGAGAGTCAGTTTCCTCATCCATAAAATGAAGATAATAGTAATATCTACCTTAAGATGTTTTATAAATACTAAATAAGCATATATGCCTGACACAATGTGAATATTTGAAATGTTAACTGTAATTATTATTAGTAATCATAATAATGTATATTCTTGTATATATACATATATACTTTATAATATATATTGTTTATATACATTATAAAGGTGTATGCCAGAACCACTGACAGGCAGGCACAGTCACAAAATCTTTTTTTTTGAGACACAGTCTTTGTAGCCCTGGTGTCCTGGAATTCATTATGTAGATAAGGCTGGCCTTGAACTCACAGTGGTCTGTCTACTTCTGCCTCCCAAGTGCTGGGATTAAAGGTGTACATTACCACAACTAGCAGAAGTCACAAAAGTTTACTTGAGCTACAACATTAGCATCCCCACAAAGAACTGTGTGTAGTGGACTGACTCACACACTCACTTCCAGCCATAAGCTAAAGCTTCTGCATTCAGACAAACTGTTCTTGTATAAGTGTGTGTGTGTGTGTGTGTGTGTGTGTGTGTGTGTGTGTGTGTGAAGCTTCGAATGAGGACTACAGGTACTATCAACCTCTTCTAACATAGAATTTGTTAAATTCATATATGCTTATGAAAATGCAAATACTCCCATTTACTAGTAGATGCATGGGGGTAAGGTAATGTTTACATAGGATGCACTGTTCAACGTAAGCACTCATGTTTTACTATTAATGAGCACTTTTGGAGACAGAAATAGAAACAAACTCTTATCAAGAAGAGTTCCTAATGACTACTGCAAATAGTGGACACCATCTGGCATAATACCACACCATAATTAGCATTTATGGGCAGAGACACAGCCATATAAAAGAACATTTTCAGTTGTCTGTGATTCATACAACTACTCTGAAGCACTGGGGTAGAGAATATTAATGCTGTGCAAGGCTCACATATTTTACAAGCTTGTAGGCTAAAGCTAATTATACAGATGATAAGATCAAAAAGGCACAAGGACAAACTACCTGGAATTTTTTTTTTTTTTGGCAGGGGGAGAGGTATTGTTTCAAATAGGGTCTCACTCTGTAGCTGAGGCTGGCATTGAACTCATGGTGACCCTCCTGTTTGAGCTTCTTGAGTCCTGGAACTACAGGTGTAAACTGCCACATCAGGCTGGAATGAGGGAACATTATGTATTAGGTACAATATTCTCATGGGTTCACAATAATAAGCTGAACTTGGTACTTGGCCAGGGGAATTTCTAACACCCTGTATCGAGGCAGAGTCATTCCTGATCATCTCGAACTGTAACATCCCAAACCAGGCCCTAAGTACCTTTTCTGGAGATTCACACAGTATATTTTCTGGCTTCAGATCCCGGTGAGCAATGCCTGGAGTGACAAATAGCAAAGAAGGGGTTAACACATGCACATAATTATCAAACATTCCACACACAATTAATTTTTTCCAAATGCTGTTGTTCGCAGATTAATTCCCAATTATGGTACATTAAAAAACCAACGAGCTGCAGGAGGCAGCAGTAACCAGAGACACAAACATACAGTGCGTTGATTCTGCAAGTTCTTTTGGAGTGGAGGCTTTAGAAGTCTGGCAGGGATAAGAGGTGCTAAATGAATCCCAGCCAGCCTACTTTCAGCACTGCAGAGACAACCTCTGGTTCTCACTGTACCACCCGACATGAAGCAGGGCAGACAGCCCTGCAGATAGCAAGGCCCGGGACAGTGGTGCAGAAATAATTAGGGCCTTGTTTGAGAGTGTCTTGGGGACCTGGATGGCTCTAGCTCATTTCTTCTTGTGCAACTGATTTTAGAAATATTCCTCCAGTGTGACTCCTGGAATGCTCAGGGGACCAAGCATTAGCCTGCACTTCTCTCAAGGCTTCTGGAAGTTTCTTCTTCCCTGGTTGCCATGGCATATCTGTGGCTGCCCTGTCTGCAGCAAAGCTTTGACAGAGTATGTTGCTCTTCAGAGATAGACACCCCAGTGTTTGGGCCAGACCCCTGCAGAGAGTGGCTGACCCATGATGGGGTTTAAATTTTGCTGAAATGGCCAAGAAGGCACCTGGGGGAAAACCATCTTCTAACCACAGAAAGATACAGAACCAACAAACAAGGCCATTGTGTTTCTGACAGAGAACACAGAATCTCCCCCTTCCTTCCCTCCATAGCACACACAGCACTGAGACACAAGGCCTGGGAAGACTGAACAAGAGTCAGACAGCTCCTGGCTTCTGAGGACTGCAAAGCAGCTGAAGATAGAGTGAGAGGAAAGCAAACCTGCCATACTCAAACCTCCTGTAAAGCTTCTCAGGCAGCCTTCCAATTCCCTGTAACAGGCCAAGCCCAGGCTTCTGAAGTCAGTTAACTAGAGAAGAAACGGCTGAGCTCCAGCAAGCTAAGTAACTTCATCAGTCACCTAATTGAATGAGAACCCAAAGCAACTCAGCCCGGCCTGCACAAATTGAGTCAGGCAACTGCTCACCGCACTAAAAGTGAAGGATATTTTCCATTATGGCAAGTGCTCCCACAGAAGATCACAAGCTGCACACGGAGCCTTACTCTCCAAATAGGTGCCCGTGGTCCTTCTGTGCCTCAGTCCGAGAACTCAGGGAGCCGGGCTGTAATAATGGGCCTGCCTGAGTGAATATACCAGCCATCCAGCTGCTCTGGTTCATTTCCCAGAGGTTAAGCTGAAGTATGTCCAGTATTTAAAAGTAGGGAACTTGTTTCGGGGCTGACCCATTCTTGCCCAATTCATCTTTCCGGCATGAAGTTATTTAGAAAACAGCCAAGTTCAGCTGAAAATCGTTTTTCATCCCCTCCAACTTCTAGTCAAATGGGCAGCAGGCCAGCTAGATGGTAAAAAGCACTTCGGAACTCCTAAGACACCACTGGCCTTTGTTCCCTTTAGTGCATTCTTGTAAATAAATAAAAAAATAAAAAATAAAACTGCCCTTACCACTCCTCTAAGGTATGCTCCTGTGCAAAGCGTGACCCAGTTTTGCAATCTACAGAGGCAGCTTGGGGAGCAGCTGTAAATCTCTGTCATGCAGGTGTTACCTGCATGCATCCCAGCTTTCAGTAATAGAACCCCTCCATTCATCATGCTGCACAAAGTACAGACATCCCCTTCTAGGAATTTCCAGCTCAGCTGCAAAGTCAGGGCCCCAGCACGGACACCAGCAGTTTGCAGATCACTTTCAGCCACTGAGGAACCAGGAGGAGTCAATGAACCTGAACTTCGGCTCACCT